AGAGAGAGAGAGAGAGAGAGAGAGAGAGAGAGAGAGAGAGAGAGAAAGGGAAGAGTTACGAGGTCAAGGTCTGAAAAAGACCCAAACTCAGAAAGATGAGGCCAGCATTTGGAGCTGCGTTTCTTTTGGGGCACCAGCTGAATTAAGACAGGTTCCTGAGGGCTGAGCAGCATTTCTGATGGCCTCATGGGGCGAGGAGGACAAAAACTGGAGCCCTGGGACTGCCAGTGAATTGGCTGTAGTTTCAGACAAAACAGACTAAGGAATAAAAGCATTACTACAGACGAAGATAATGATAAAAGATTGAACAAACAGGATTTAAAAGTTGAAATCATTTAATGTAACAAGTCTAAAATCGCATGCACCTCAAAACAGGTTTGAGCATATATAATGCAAAAACCCGACATCACTATAAATTGACAGAGACAGACTGCAGTCATGGGAAGATTGAACTCAGGTCTCACAGTTACAGAAAAAGCAGTAAAAAGTTAGCATATAGCAAATTTGAAAAAAATGACAAAGAAATCAGAATCTAATTGTCACCTATAGAACTCTGCCCCCAATGACCTTAAAATATACATCCTTTTTAAGCCCATATGGAAGAGTTAAAGAAAAAACCCCAAAAATCCTGAACATATGCCTCTTACCTGCATAATGGAAAAATGTGTGTCCATAGAGACTAGGCATGTTTTTTTAAATAGCTGACGGGGGCACTTTGTCCTCATAGGACTCATATTAATGGGGGTTAATCTGACCCCTGACAAGGAAGAATGACCTAGTAAGGTTTGAGGGGACTATGGTTTCAATATGCAAAGGAGTCACAAGAAGGTAAGTACATTGTCTTGGTGACTTAAGGACGCCATGGAATCCATGTTTAGCGGGACCTGGGATGGTGAAGATGAAAAGTAAAGAGAATGGAGTGGGAAGAGTCCGCACAGCTCTCCCTCTCTTCTCCCTGCCCCTGGGAGCTGCATGAGAACACTTGGACTTGTGTGGAAGAGAGAAGGATAATGCAAAACCCAAGCCCTCTACCTAAAAATAAAAAGAGGCAGCAGTAACAGTCAAGTCTTCTGTGCAGTCAGGCAGAGGGCTTAGCTTTTCTATGGCCAAGCCCTGCTTCGCTTCCCGTCTTTCCTTCCCCGTCCTGTGTCTTCCTGTTCTGTCCTAGGTAAGCCACACTGGGTTCTAGATGACCACCTCTGCCTTTCCACCATTATATGCATTTACACAGCGGGCTGGACCTTGCAAATCCAGAGTTCCTGTTCTAACAATTCTCACTCTATGAGAAAAATCTGCCTACTTTCCCATCCCATCCTGCCCCTGGCTTCAGAGAATAAGTGAGTCCTAAAGGTGGTTCTTTCCTTTGATCCTCTACTTCAGGGGCCTGGGTGCATGTTTGTTGCACTCTGAGGGTTTGGGTTAGAAATGTGGGTACACGGAGGAGTCCTGCTAGCATTCAGAGGTTCGGCTGGAGCTAGAAGTCTGGGGTGGGGTAGGGTGGGTGCAGACCTGACCTATGCTTTGCCGACAAACCAACAGTCCTCAGTCCTGCCGGACAGGCCACTTCCGGGTTAACTGGCACCACCTCCCTAGCCGGACCTAGTTGGAGAAAATATACTGGGAGGCTTGCTGGATCAGTTGCAGTCCTGACCTAATTTTCCGAGTCTCAGCAACCCCCAGTAAGTCTCTCTCTTATTTCTCCGCCAATCTGGCAACACTCAGTGCTGAGTAGAAAGGGCCACTTAATCAGTGCTTCCTTGGCGCTCCCGCCGGCTCCACGTCCTACATGTTTCTCCCAAGTCAGGCCTGCGCCGGGTCCTTCCGCACTCAGGGGTTAGGCCCAACATACTCACATACTTTTTGATTCTGGTGTCTGGGCATGTTTGCACTTATGTACTCAGCTGGCTGTTTCGAAATCACCCTTGGTATGAAACTGTATAACCTAAGTACTCCCTGGATTTTTCCCCAGCACCTCCTCAGGAAGTAAAGCAGGATGATGCTGGCTCTAAGTGCCTTATTAATAAGTAACTTCCACTGTATTTCCCTTTCGCCCTGTCTGGCAGAAGGCCATCCAGACTCACCCTCATACATCTCCAGGATGTGAACCGTGTCTCCAATCTGCAGGGAGAGCTCCACATCTTGAGAGGCATTGTAGTTATAGATCGCTGGAAATAAAAGGGGACATGGCATCAATGGCAGTTCAACTACAAGTCGCTAAATAGCACATTCTGTGATTTGTGAATTACTTAACAAATTACCCTCCACTCAATGATCTCATGTGAGTCACCCACTGTAAAGCAGAGCACATCCTCCAGGACCCCCAATGCTGGTGTTTTACAGTCATTCCTCCATCCAGCAAATACTGGTTGGTTGCCTTCTATGGACCACGTAGAGTGTTAGAGACCAGTGATAAGAGTTACGAAACACACGGACATTGCCTGTGTCCCAGGGATTTTTACAGTCTTGTAGGGGAAGAAAGAGATTAAATATATTACTACAGAAAAAAACTACTTAATTATAAGAGTTATAAAGGAAAAAACCGAGCTACAAGGAGAATATATTGTGGGGTTCTGCTGGTCGGTCCATTGTTCATCAGACAACAGCCAGCCTGCAAGACCACTGAGCTTATGATCACTAAGGCAGAGGGCGCACCATCTACCAGCTACCCTGACGCAGTGACTGGTAGCCAAAGGGCCACTTGTGGGTCCCATCTACCCTCCAGTGATGGCCTGACACAGGGTAAATGCAGGGATGGCCGCCTTCTCCTAGTTCTCAGCTCCCTGGGGAACTGGGTCGCCCCAGCACTTCCCTCATCAAGGTGACCTCAATCACCACAGTCCTTAGGACTGGCAATGACTGGGCCAGACTGTGAAAAACAGTAGACTAACATAACTCAGAAAAAAAAAGACAACACAATTTTAAGATGGGCAAGAGCTCTGAAGGGACATTTGACCAAGAATCATATATGGTATACCTAATAAGCACATGCAAAATGCTCCACAGCAGCAGTCATCAGGGAAATGCAAATCAAAACCACAATGACATACCACTTCACACCCATTCGAAAGGCTGTAATTTTTTAGGGCCGGCCGAGTGGCGCGATGGTTAAGAGCTGGCTTGGGACGCCAGAGAGCCCCGGTTCAGATCCCACATATGAGGGCCAGTGACACTGCCCTCTACAGCTAAGATGCTGAACAACAGCTCAACCTGGAGATGAGCTGCCATGCGTCGCCAGGCACAGCGTAGGCTGCAGCCCCTGTGTCAGTGGGTTGCCATGGGCTACTGTGTGTAGCCAGCAGCCAGCGGGAGCGGCCAGCAGCTGCAGTGAGCGGCCTTCCAGAAGCTGGCGACTGCCTCGCTTGGGAAGAGCGCAATGATGGTGCCAACTTGGGCCAGTGAAGCGACGTCCTCCACAACTAGACTGAAGAATGAAAGGATAGCAACTTGTCTGTTCCCCTTCCCCCAATTCCCCAGCACAGTCCCCATCCCCCAATTCCCCAATAAAAATCTTTAAAAAAAAGAAAGGCTGTAATTTTTAAAAGGCTGAAAACTGGCAAGAATGTGAAGAAACTGGAAGGAATGTAAAATGGCAGCCTCTTCAGAAAACAGTTTGGCATTGTCTTAAAAAGTTAAACATAAATTTATAATATGACCCATCAATTTCACTCCCAGTTATTGACAAAGAGAAATGAAAATATGCCTACACAAAAAACTTCATGTGACTATTCACAGCTGCTGTGATGGGCAGAAAAATAGCCCCCCAAAAGATATCCCCATCAAATTTCTGGAACCTGTGAATGTTAGTTACTTTGTGTACCAAAAAGACAGAGAGAGAGAGAGAGAGAGAGAGAGAGAGAGAGAGAGAGAGAGATCCTTCCACCAGCTCTGCTCTCAGATAGAATCAGGAAGTAGTGAGCTTGCAGTGTCCTGATGGGTTGTATAATGACCAAGCTTTATCTCTTTCTTGTTCTTAGTCATCAGGAAAGCAAGCAGACGCTCTCAGAGGCAGCACTTAGCACCGGTAGCTCCAAGCGCAAACACCTACCAAGGACTGCGGCACACATGAGTGTACACACACACACACACACACACACACACACACACACACACACACACCATAGACCAATGTTTTCTTAAATTGTATATCCTAAGTCTGACAATCAAAGTGTTCCAAAATTATCCCAGCCTCAATTATCCACCTTTGCCTCCATTATCTGCCAAATTCCACCCTGTGCTCCAGGGAAGACACATATTCTCCCCTAAATTCTGTGCTCCAACAATGGTTCAGCCCTGCCTGGAACAACACCTTATCTTTTTCTTTGTAACAATCCAAAGCTCACACTCACAATTCATTTCAACAAATGACTACTGACTCCCTAGCACCCTGCAGGCGCCTCTTTCTTCTCTGACATCCTGCAACAGCTTTTCCTTCCAACACGGTTTGGGGTTTTACATCATCATCTTGTGGTATCATCTGCCATCAATCAGAAGATAAACCCCTCCCTAACAGAGACCTGGTTAACACGGTACTTTTGTGTCTTTCACATTCCATGGCACTGGGTGAGACCCAAAGAAGGTGCTCAGGGCACAACAGTGACTTTTATAAAATCCATCCATCAATTCAGGTATTCGCCACTGCTTTCCCAAATCCAAGATACTTCCGCTGCCCTCAGAAACAGCAGCTGTGGTTCCCCACCACTCAGTGAAAGGATCTGTCAAAACCACCTCTCCTGACACTTTTTGCTTATTGCACAAAAGAATCTGCTTTTCCAACCCAAGCTTTCAAAGGGATTCTCATGGGTGGAACACTCCTTCAACAATGCTTTTCAATACAGGGAGACATCACTGGTTAGAGGCCATTCGTACTGTTTCATGTCTTTGGGCAGAAGTACCAACAAGAATTCCAATCAGTAGAGCTGCCATGTATTCATTCCAATGATACTCTTTAGAACTATGCACTCCCTAGCCCCTCTCCCGCCCCCTGAATACACTTCATTTCTGTTGTATTTTAAGGCTTCATTTCCATATATAATATACTAACTGTATGGAGTAGATGTCATGTACATTATTTAATGAGAAAACAGACCCAGAAGATGTAAGCATCTTGCCCCAAGTAACCCACCTTCACCAGCAACCAAGCTGTAACCCAGGTCCTGTGATGACCCATTCATCACTTTTTACCAGGCTGGTCTGACATGGCTAAGGTACGCCCTGGAATAGCCTGGAAACAAAGAGAACAGCCTGACAGAGTCTCAATATGTGGTCTGCCTTTGATTTCTCTCATTAAATGAGAATACAGCTTCTAAAAACAAGCTCTCTGATACCAATCAGTGACTGGTAATCACACCGTCGGTGAGTCTGCTGCTATTTCAAGAACAGCCATACAACTAAGGCACTCAGTGGATCATGCTTTCCTCCCTGGGATGTGAATAACTATTATAGAGAAAGACAAAGAAGGGGGGAACAAGATGACCTTGAGTGAGTTGCTCAGTCTCAGCCTCAGTTTCCCATATGTAAACCAGGCATTGGACCAGATGAGTCTAAGGGTCCCTGTGGCTCCAACATTCTCTGATTCATGAGGTGATGGTAGGAGTCCAGAGAAACAAGTTGTGCCGTTTTGAACTAGCAGGCACCACCACAATCTCTTGTTTTGTCTGAGGAAATTAAACGAGAACAGGGAGGGAGTCGCTGTATATAAATTGCCGTGTTGGCTGCTATGTGCAAGGTTGGGAAAGACGAATTGCTAGAATTCTTCCCTAAGCGGTTTAACTGTTTACGACACAAAAGTGTAATTTTGCAGAGCCAAGTAGACAAGACAGTATGTCTACAAATGTAAAATAGCTTGCATTTTACCAAATTTTTAACTTGGCCTTTTCTTTTGAACCAGACTTATTTGAGAGAAAAAAAGAAATTTGAGGTCTTAGGATTACACAACAAGAAACCAACAGAATAGACTTCTAAGACCCCAAATGAGGATTGGTTTTGACGATGAAAAGTCTGTGGCCTACTAGTCACTCTTTCTAATAAATTAGGTTCTTTCATGAACCCTCAAATTATGACCCCTTGAAGAATAACTAAAACACAGACATTTGCTATTAGTCATTTGATAGAATCTAACAAAAGAAATGCTCAAACTTCATTTTTTTCATTATTATCTTACATCTGCATACTTTCAGCCACTGGGACTGTAAAAATAAAAGGGCACATCTCATCTTTCATCTTCTCCCCAGATTTAATGCGATGATGTTCTAGAAGGGCACACAATTTTTTTCTCTTGTTCTTTAATCCCACTCAACAAGAGATCTGACCCCAAGAAGTAAAAATCTATGGTTTTACACTGATCATTCCAATGAGGCTCCAAACTAGTCTTTTTAGGGTGAGATGACCAGCACGCTATGTCTCTACTCAGAACTTTCCAGGCCAGGGGCTCTCTATCAGATGAGGACTTCAGCTTATAATTGTCACCATCTGCACTGCACAGGTACATGTTCATACAGGATTCTTTACTTCATTTTCTAGACTGTTTAAGAGATGAGAGGATTTAATGACCCATTTGCTGGTTATTCTTAAGAAATCTCTATTTTCTTTTTTTTTTTACCACAGAAATTGAGTCAGTAATCAACTAAGAAATCTCTACTTTAAGCATTATATCTATTTGTGGATAGAATCAATATCTTTAACTGGAGAGATATTTCACAGATATAAACTCAAATATAGTTTATTTATTTCACTGGTACCAAGTGATTACGATAAGCTAGGTCATTTAAATTAACATGAAATTTAATTTACATGACATATTTAATGGAGAAAGGCTAAAACAAGGCCATTGAAGATTATAGAACAAAAAAATGTATGTTCTACACACACAGGGTGCTTTCCACCACAGCTTCCGCATCCAAAAAAATGGCGGGAACAGCGCATTCTTCCCACGGTTCCATTAGACCAAAGCGGAGAAGGCACAGAGCCCACAGGATGATGACTAAGGAACACCTTGGATCTGAGTCAGTGTCAGCCCCCTTCCCTTTTCCCCCTTCCCCTTTCCCACCCTTTCCAGCTTCCCACTTGGAGCACGGAGGCACCCACAACCGCAAAGCCTGCCCCTGCCATCCTCACCACTAAGACAGTGGCAGCCATTCAGTGAGAACTGGGAGCCAAGAAGGACGGT